ATGTTCTAAATTGATATAATACTTCGCAATTGTATATCTTAAGTACATATGAGTCCATACAAGTAACATATCAATTAGTGAAACTCAATTTCTCCAAAATACAAAATCTCATCATGTCATTCGCAGAATAGCGTATACATATATAACGGTATAAAAATCTATACACGCTTAGTATTAAAAGAAGTTTCAAATAATGTGAACATTCAAGAACCAAACACATAAACCATTTAATACAACACAAAGAGACAAAATCAATATTATGTAAATAAATAAAATATACTTAAATTCTGCATTATTCACAAAATTATGAACAATGCGAGCTTGAGATCTGGTTAAACATAACGTGGGAGAATGTGTTTATGCCCACACTTTATATCTTAAACGTGAGCTAGATTTTTTTAAAGGGGTATAGAATGTAGATATTTTCATTCAATCAATTTGAATTAATTTGGAAACTTTTATTTAAATAAAATATATGTACCGAGAAAGTCTAAAGGGGAATCTTTTCCTGGGGTTGTCAAATAATAGCACAAGAGCATGTGCTCATGTTCTTGAAAGCCAAGCAAGTTTTCCATTTCTTTGAAATTGAACAATTAATTTACTTCACCAATACCTTACAAACTCATGATTTTTGTTTTTATTGAAATAAATTATTATTATTACTCCTATTACTATTACTATTTATTGGGATGTTAATTGTGAGTATTTTTTTTTGGTGCAGTAAATGTGAGTAGATTTAACTTAAAAGAGAATTATACCCAAATTCTTTACAAATCAACACAAGGAAATATCACAAGTTCTCTTAGTAATTGAGCATAGCATTTTGCGATGCTTAGTTGTTAATTGATTTTACAGTATTCAATTATGTTTGGGAATTTAAATATAATTTTCCTTTTAACTTAATATGAGGAGAAAGATTGATTTCACATTAGATAGAATTTAGGCAAAAATGTCTTAATTAAGATTAACTGGGTTAAAAAATTGGTGTTGAACCTATTTATATATATATGCTCGCCGGCTGCTGGGTTCAGTTACGTTCTCCTCCCATTTGGTATTCTCTCCTAACCCAACCTTATAATCATTTTTGCAATCCATATATATAATAGAAACCTTTTCATTAAATGATATATTTTTTTGAATACAATTTTTGGTAAACAAAATAGATCGAATCGAAAAAAAATTAAAATGCCAATGAGTCCAATATAATGCAAGCTATATTATTGGGACTCGTGAATAGTAAATTATAAATAAAAGTTGCATTATATTGTTGATAACTTATGAATATTATATATATATATATATATATATATTCCATTAGATGTATTTTCCTATTGAACAAATAACACATTAATATTGAAATCACATATATCCTTATTTTTCTTAACTTTAGCTATTTAGAATGTAATTTTAATTAGTCAAACTCAACTCGCACAATCAAAGATTTGATTCTTATTGAACAAAGTTAATTTTCCCATTAGTGGAGGCCAACCCTAATGCCTAAAGTTTAGGGCAGATTCGACCGTTTCCTTTTCGCACAGAAAGCATCACAATTTATTAAGTCAATATATGAAATAATTACCAGCTTCCAATCAATTGAAGTGAAACATTACATTATACGTATGCATGCATTTGCAAAGTTATTCAGGCAACATGAACTTGAATAAAGTGGCGTAAAAGTTCTTGTTAGAGTAAAAAGTAGTAAATAAACAAAACATAGACAGAGAGAGACGTACGCTATTTAATTAGTATCGGAATTATGATATATATATATATATATATATATATGATATTTGGCGAAAAATGGGTTTTTGGAAGATATCGTGATGTAACCAATAAACATATGAGAAACCACAATAATAAATTCATATACTTTAATTGCGTTTTGTTGTTAATACCTATAATTTTATTTCATAGTTCTTAGTTTCTTTAGTTTAATATGTTTGTAATGTTTGTAACATTAATTCTTGTATAGTTTTAAAAATACATACACATAAGGATCATAATGAGCCAGCACTAATAGAGTAATTAATTTCGGCTTGCAATTTAACTCTTTTAACATCTTTGTTGATACACACACACACACAATCTTGTATCTGTCTCCTACATTAATTCTGTTTAATTGAGCCAAATATAAAAGAAACTATTTTCTCCTTGCCTTTTATTTTTAATCATGTTTGGTCACTTTATTTCCATCAAAGTATTTTTTTACCATGTTATCAAAAGGGTTAATAGAGTACAGGAATAATGTTGCAAATGGATTAAACTAAAAGGACTAGGAACAATCAAATAAAACTACAAAAACTAAAAACAAATGTAATCAAAATATACGGACTTACTCTTTGTATTTTCTTAAAACATATCCAATCTCAATAAGAAGATATAGAGAGGATAGAATAAATGAAACCAACACCTAGAACTTTCACTGAGGTGGTTAAATTAAAAAAGGGTTACTATTATAAGTTCATAACTTGAAGAAAATTAAGAAAATACAAGAGTAAGTCTATCTATTTTGAGGTGGTTATGTTTAACTCAATAATAAATTAAAGCCAGAGTACCATTCATACAGCTTTATTTCCTTTTGGTGAAATCACACACACACACACACACACACACACACATGTCGGCGATACTGTAAAAATATTAATTTGTTTAATTAATTTAGAAACCGACTTTATAAGCATGACTCACAATTCACACTCTTCTCAAGAGGTTGACCACTTGCATGAAGTTGGAGGCCACGCCCTCGTGTTCTAAAACTCTTACAAATAAAATAATGAAGTTGATTTGTTAATTAATTTCTAGCCTAATGCAACGATATATTTTTTTTATCTTTCTGGTTGAAATTTGTTCAGTAAAATATATATGTGGTATTAGACTTTAAATATAGTAGCTGAAGCTCTTTTAACATAATTAATTTTTAACATATCAAGTTCAAACTCGAAACTTCACTTAAAAAACATATCAAGTTTCTTCAACTCAACAAAACCATTTTAACGTGATGATAGTGTTGTTAAAATAAAATGTAATTTGTTCCTAGCTTAATTCAATAATATTTGTTTCTATTTATTTATTTTTTGATTGAAATCTATTATATCATATACTATTATCTAATGGTCTACATCCAAGTTTTACGACACTTATAGATATATAGGAGAAAGCTAGCTCTAGTAACATGATTATTTAATTTCCTTTTCCGTTCATGAAGCTCACTTTAATATATATATATATATATATATATCTCAAGTTTCTTGCCCTCAACACAGCCATTTTATTAGTTTAACGTGATGATAAGATGTTAAAAAGAGTGATGTAGTTTCGTAATTCTATGCACAATCACTTGCTCATGTCTCTTAGGCTCTTAGTTTGATGCCTCGTCATGCCCTTCTTTGGAAACTATGCTCTATCTTTTCGCACATTAAGATTGATCGGCGTGGAAGTTCGGTGTGCGATTCTTTTTGCTACTCCAAAAGCCTAGTTCATGTAATCGATTTTAATTAAATTAACTTGCTTTTCATGTATGAGTTTATTTGAATGTGTTTCTATATATATAGTATAAAAATCCTAATTATTAATGCTCCCTTCATTTTTATTTATAGGCTTTTTTTTAATATAAGCAAAATCACATTTTTGAATAGGCATTTATTGCAAACTTTTTAAATTATTTTTTATAATTTATTATTCATAGTCATAAAAAAAAATTAATGAATGATTGATTAACACAATTAATAAAGGATACTATAGTCTAAATATTTTATTTTCAGGCATAATTAATAGAGTTAATTGATTTTTTTAAACTGTATGATATAATTTTTTTCTCTTACAAATAAAAAAGGAGGGAGTATTTGCTTACCTGCGGATCTACTTATATACTATTTATAAATAAAATCAAAGATAATATTTTGCATGCTGGCCCACCTAAGCAATATTCATGCAGGAATCGTCAAAATTTTCTGGAATGGAAGATATATTTTGAAAAAATAGAATCTAATTTAGACTTTACTCTTTACATGTATCATCCTATATATCTAGATTAAAAGGAAATCCATGTGTTGAAATGGAGGAGATCCACTTGGACTCCAACACCAATTTTCTTCCTAAGGTGCCTGAACTGCACTCTCTTGTTTGGATCTCTTTGGAATCTTTTAGTTATCTGATAGCAGAATCAAATTTCAATTTGATTTACTACAGGAAACAATATTTCAAAAGGTTCTTGATTGCTTGGATCTGACACTAGCAGATTAACATTTTCTTTTAATATTCATAGTTTATTAAGATCTTTTTCTTCTTGTCGCTTTTCAGTTACAAATTAAACTAACTTCTACTTTCTATCTTTTTTGCTTTTGGACTACCGTAACTTTCTTTTCTTTTTAATATATTGATCCATTTTAATGAAAAAAAAATAAAGACGACTCATTTTGTCTAGCTAGTAGAAGTATCCTAGCTTTTGTATACAAGTAATTCATCTAATTGTAATTTTTTTATTAATTCTCAATAATTTATAATGATATTTAAAAATAAAGACTGAATAAAATTAGTTATAGCTTGCTATAGCATGAATGATCTTTGTGAATGTAGAAAGATCAAAGCTGACTGATAAAATAATTTACAGATTCGCTGTGATTGCTGCCTTTAATATATTATGGCTGGCAGAGACAAGAAGAAAACAGACAATATATGTAAATCAAGATCAAAATTATGACTTTTTTTGACTTCATTTTGATTCAGTTCAAAGCAGAGAAAACCTTAATTATTCAAACTTGAGATTGAGAAAATCCCATTTTTATAATCCTTTTGTAATTTTCATGCTGCTTTAGAAAAATAACGCCTTGATTATTTATTCATCTAGCTTTGAGCTTCCCTAAGTTTTCCCACATACCAATGAATAATATAATAGTTAGACGAACAGCTGCCGGAACCCTAGGTTTGACTTGGGTTGGTGTAACCCATCTATAAAACCCCAGGTTTAGCTTCTAAATCTTTCTCTTTCAGTTTGCAAAAAAGTGCAACACAACATCTTTAACATCAGAAGAAGAAGAAGAAAAATAAGAAGAAACACTCAAAATGAAGAAGCAATCTGTGCTAGTAAGATTATTACTAGGATTTCTCTGTGTTATCAATGCCCTAGGGCACTCATCTGCAACAGATATTCTGGGTAATGATCTCTCGATTTCTCTTTAATTACTGTCAAAAGTCATTCATGAAACTATAGATTAAATGATTCTATTTGTTTTCAAAATCTTCAGGTCAGAAAGAGAACCAGAAGGAGCTTGTGCACACTAGAGTCGGCTCTATGTTCTCTGAAAAGGCAAGTTTGATGACAAATTTTTCTTTCATTACAGCCAATGTCTTCTTAGACTTTCTTTGAACTATTTCTCTTCCAATTAGCACTTTTAAGGCCATTCTAGTAACCAAGAAAACTCCTTTGGATTTCAATTAAACACAATCATATAGTATATTTGTTATTTTGCACCAGTTAGCCGGCTAGGTTAAGAGGGTTTATATGATCCTTATACATATATATCGTACCACACTCTTATCGCCTCAGCTAATGTCAAGTAGTCTTATTATAGCATCTGATTTCTAATACGAGTGTAAAATGATTTTGTGCACAGGAAGCTCAGTACCATGTGAGCAGGAAGCTAGGGTTTGGAAGGAAGAAATCAATGGAGATTCATGATCATAAAGATTACTCAAGTATGGATTTTTCTGTGAAAGAAAAAGGTTCAGAAAGAGGAGGACTAGGGACTACAAAGATTTCAGGTGCAATCTATTCTGATGGAATATGTGACTTTGAAAGGGAGAGAGGTGTAAATGTAAAATGTAAAGTGGACCACAACAAAAGTACTTCTTCTATTTCACCCAACACCAGAAAGTTCAATATGGGTGGTTTTGTGGCTTTTACTGCTGATTATCATGGGCCTTCACACCACATACCCAAACATAATTGAGTCATAAAGCTTTGAAAACCCTTGTGAGTAGTAGAAACTTGACCTTCAATGTATATAATATCCATGTTTATGTATATATTTGTGTGCTTCCGTGCATACCAACTTCATCAGCTTGAATATATATGATAATATCATGCTAATAACTGGGAAATTCTTGATTTTTGTGGAAGAGAAGTTCTCATTTCTTACAACATCTTACATTTGAAAGCTATATCGTTATATATAGATTGCCAGGCTAATGACTTGAGTGCTTTTCTATATGATGCAGCTGAGGACAATAATGCTTTGAAGAATTCTATAGGAAGCTTACGAGAAGATGATCATCAGGTTAGCTAATACTTCATATATATAATAATCTTCATACACACACACACACACACACACAGAAAATCATACTTCGCGCGCGGGCACGCGCATATATATATATATATATATATGCAACCCACAAAAATTAGATTCACTGATTTTTTATTTTTTAAACATTCTTTGAAACATTACTCACAGAAGGACGATAAGAACGTTGCGAATAGTCTTTCCGAATCCAAAACAAATTACTCAAACTATGCAAAAGTTAAAACCAGATTGAAGAAGAGCAGTTTCAGCAGGCCTGAAAGACAAATCTCTGAAGAATCACAAGAACATAAAGAAAAAGATGAAGAAAAAACCGAAAGGATTTTCCAAGTTGAGGAAGAGGTTATGAGCTTCATGCGTAAGGATTACAATGGAATGGCTCACCGCAAGCCCCCCATCAACAATCAAGAACCCAGAAACTGATCAGATCTATCTACGCTAGTGACGGCCTAGACCTATCTATATATATAGATATATACATATATGTGCATAGCTAGGCTCACAATTTTGCCACCAAGTAACTAGTAACTACGAGTTTGACCTAGATATTTAACAGATATATATATATATATATATATAGGGTTTACTTTCTGGTTTAGTTTTGACGGATCTACAGGCAGTTATACAGGATTTAACAGATATATATATATAAGTTTGTTTAACTTATTTATTTGTTTGATGTTTCCGTAAAAACAAGTAGGTGTAGAACATAGTATTGTTAATCAGACCGTAAGAAAAAATGGGAGAAGAGAAAATAAAAATAAAAACAGCATGTGTTTCTGTATATTTTGTGTATCATAATTATATCCTCGAAGTCAATTAGTAGAATTTATGTGCCCTCTTCGTTCTATATATTAATGTATGCAAAAAGTTACACGATGAATATTAGAAAAAGAAAGAAGAAAAAAAGTAGTTTTTAAGCTATGATCATTTAAATAAGTTGTTAGAGATTCAAATTTATCTCATATATATAATAATTTAGTTGAGAGAGGGGTTTATTTTTACCTTTAGTGCTTCGAAAGAAATGTCTTTATTATTAGCAGGGAGCCCATCCCTGATGTTTCATACAAATGTATGGACATACATATACACATATACGAAATTTAAAATCGTTTAATAGTTGTAGATAATCCGCCCAATATGTGAGTTGTGTGCAATATATATTTTTTATTTTTATTAATGCGCTTGTGGGATGTGTGTGGAATTTTTTTAGGTGGAGAAAAGCTGTACTTTCTTTAAATGACACTAAACAGGACGAAAAACAAATTAATCATTACTACAAATAATATATCTTATGACACCAAGAAAATGTCACAGAACGAGGCCTAATATTTTTGCTGTGTGGGCCCATGGTTCTGTTTGCCCCGAAACACTCTTGGGTTAATCGTCGGCTTGATGCTTGACTAGGCCGAAATTGAGTCTGGTTTGGTCTGGTCTAAAAAAACACAAGCACTAAAGAAAGCCCAGGCCTTGTTCCATTCAATAGGGAGAAAGAAAGGGCTAATGAATGAAAATGAGAAAGGAAATTAATTAGTAAGTAGTAAGTAACTACCAACTATGAACAAGCTGCTTTGTTCTTGAAAACACTTTATGCGATAATGTTAAAAAATACAAATGATTAAATTTAATTTGTTATTGTTAAAAAATGAATATGTTTTTCTTTTTTTGAAATCAAACAAAAAGAAATACAGCGGGGAAAAAAAATAGAACAGGAAGCAAAAACACAGGTTCTCTTTGCTGATCATCTTCCAAACCGGCCTGGCTAACTACATTGATGGACAGATTGTGCCTATTGAGAGCCAAATTTGAAGGCTCTGCCAACTACAACGGTTCGGATCGGTTGAGCCTGAATTCAGGATCAACTTCAAACCCATATGGTCTGCCTGTTGGCTGTGAATATTTTGTAGCGACAGTAGCAATGTTACCTGATACCATCATTCATTCAGCATCCCCATACCTTTTATGTGGAGAGTATAAAACAAACCTAGATATATAAGTGCTCATCGCAACGTTACCTGATACCATCATTCATTCAGCAATGTTTTATAAGTTGCCATTCATTCAAAGACGAGATCCAGAGCGTGTTCCATTGATGGAGGGTAGCAGGTCGATTGTCGGGCTAGGGGCCTCTAATCTACTTTTCTTTAATATCCCTTGTAATGTCTCAACTTTTTAATTTCATTTTTTATTTTTCTTTAGATCATGGGCTTCTACATAAAATAAAAGATATTTGGATATGTTGAAGTCTCAAAATGGTGAAAATTTATATTTTCTATGATTTTTTAAAGAAAAATATCACAAATACACCCTTTTATTTTTGAAAAATTATAAAAAATATAAATCTTTACCATTTTGAGACATCAAGATATCCAAATGTCTTTTATTTTATGTAAAAGCCAATGATAAAAAAAATAAAAAATGAAATTGGGACGTTAGGATATTACAAAGAATATTAGAGAAGGGCACATTAAAGACTCCTAACCCATCGATCGTCTTCACAGTCATATTTGCGTCCAGTGATTCAAGGTCATTAAAATGCCTGGTTCTGTGATGGTAAATGCCTTATCCTGTGACCACCTTTATTCTGGTCTCTACACACATTCTCCCGAGAAACTAAAATGCAACTTTTCCTTTTCACTAGTAGGGCCCCAAAGAAATGCGTGTGTACTCTTCTCAACTGCTTCACAAGTAAAGGAAGGAAGCATGGCAGTTCACTATCGTGTTTCGCCAAGCAAAGGATAAATTATTAGCTTTCCAACTTCCGATCACTCTGTCCACGATATACTTATCTTATGCGAATCCTTAGTAATTAACTCTCCCATGGTGCATCGGAACCCCTAGGTATTTGCCCAAATCAGAGGTGCTAGAAAAACCCAGTACTTGACACAAGCTCATCCAGGAGGCCCGAAAGACAAATCTCTGAAGAATCAATCATTAATACTAATAATATATCTAATAAGACCGAGAAAATGTCACAGTAATGAGGCCTAATATTGTTGTTATGGGTCCTAATAATAATAATAATAATAATTTAAAAATTGGAGCCGTGGTGCCATTTGCCCCAATACACCCTTGGGTTGGCCGTTTTCACTCAGGACCTAATAAATCCTCTCCCGAGTTGGCTTGATGCTTGACTAGGTCGAAATTGAGTCAGGTTTGGTCTGGTTTTAAAAAACAAAAGCACTAAAGAAAGCTACTTTTTTTATCAGAAAAGAAATCTATTTGTCATTTTTTTATTTAGGAGGATTTAATATTTTTTTTTTGATAGAATGATAGTGATCTTACGCTTACGCCCATCTTGAATCCCCAAGCAAAATTTGGGAAAAAAAAAAAATGCCTGCGCCATATGATTGCAATTTGTGTATCGGACTTGTAGTCATACCAAGGGGTTAAGAGAAATTTAATTAAAATTAATTATGAAAAATGTTGGAAAATGGAAGACCATGTCAGTACATCAAGAGAAAATTGGCTACAAGGACCAAAAGGCCCAAATATTTGGGTATAAGTTTCAAATACATGGATCATAGTTTTATTAAAAAAATAAAATAAATGCCCTTTCTTTTTTCTTTTTGCATTATTGATCTATTGAAATTATCCATGAATCTTTAATAATATGTGCTCTGGAGATGAATTCAGAAAAAGAAATTAATATTTTTTATATTTTTGCTCAAAAACATACTCCTTCGTTAAAAAACGTAAGGCATTTTTAACCAAATCTCATCTTTAATAAGATAGTTACTTACTTTCAAACTAACCCTATTTTTTTATATTTATCCCTATTAAACACCCTATAATAAATATAAAGTTACTATCAATAGGAACACTTTAAAAAAAAGGTAATGATTATACCTCAAAAAATTAAAGATGCCTTATATTTTTTAATATCTAACTTTTTAAAAAATACCTTATATTTTTAAATGGGGAGAGACTAGAGAGTATTGTCTTTCATAGATCATAGTTCATCCTGCAGGCTTTATTTATCAATTTGGCCCAAATATTTAAGTTTTATTTTCTCATGGTTTTTTCATGCACATCATCCATGTAGCTCAAGAGACCTTTTTGCCTATGATAGGAGAAGCCCATCATTCACAAGAGACATTCTTAGAAGGATCAATCAAATCAATCTCTCAAGTTTCAAGCTCTTGTATTAATTTTCAATAACTTAATTAAACCTTGTACTATATATTTACTTTCATTTATCGCATTCGACCTGCATCCATAGGCTCACTTATAAATATACATCGTTGTTTCATTCAACCTAAATCCATATATATATATATATATATATATCATAAACTTAGCTCCTTAATTAGGTTTCTGCGTGTCCTATCATATAATGGTCGTCAATATATGCTGCGGCTAACAGGTAAATGAAGATTTTTGGGATGAGTATATATTGAACCCATTCAAAGTGCCTCTCTCTTATTAAGGGAAGGCTCATATTAGACATAGTTGAGTGCAAAAATTATGCAAACAAAATTAACACAAGAAACCATAAATTTTTTAAATGACAATACATGTGTGTGTAAATTAGAAGAAAGGGAAAGCTAGATCAGACCCTATACAACTTAAAATATGAGTGAACTTTAGTTGTGTGTGTGTGTGTGTGTGTACGTCGGGCAAAAATTAACACTAGAAAACAGAAATTTGTGAAGCGACAACATATGAAGGACCAAAGTTGAAAAAAGGTAAATGAATGAAAAGGGCTTTGTGTACCTTGAAAGATTATTAGCTGTAAGTAATTATGTTGTAAATTGGCGAAATTTTATAAATCAGATCAGGAAGCTCAATTTGTAAATCTTAGAAGTTCAATCGTAACATCAAAAGATTAATTGTAAAAAGTTGTAATTAATTACAAAAAGGTTTTGTAAATAGATATTGGCAACTTATTACAATTGCGCTTCAAGGATTTCCAAGTGCTAAGTTCTCTCAATTTACAACTTATTTGAAACTAATGCAAAGTTCATACATAATACAACTCAATTCTAGAGCTGACAATTTTTTTTATTACAACATATTTAATTTGTAACTAATCTAGAAAGACTCATAAAGGAGTTTCCATGATTAGCAAATGATTTTTCATTCATTTACCTTTCATTTTAAGAACACTGGTCATTATCTTTATCATTTCACAAATTCGTGGTTCTTATTTTGTTGTCTTTTCATCCCTGTGCAAGTTGAATTGATTAAGGTGAGATAGACATAAAGAAATAGGCCATGATTTTGGAACAATATGCTTGGATTTATATATCAGTCACGCCCCAAAATTGAGAGAAACTGGCACAGAATGTGAACTATAAAACACATCTCCGTAAACCTGTAATCTTAAATTCATTCTATTTCTAAAATGTAATCAAATTTATATTAAAATTTTAACATTTTTGATATTGGTTATTATAATAAAGTTTTAAAATTTTTGTAAAAAAAATTTCAGCAGAACCTCTTCCATAAATAAAATCTTTCGAAACTCTACAATACAAAAATATTCACAGAATATCAAGTCAATTAGGAGCTTAGCTCCTTCTAGTTAACAGACATTATATATATCAAAATAGAAGCTTGAAATATAGCATATGTGGAGCACTTAACCAGATTTCTCCAAAAATAAAATACATAAGCATTTATAGTTACATCAAAAAAAAATTTTGATCAATTCTTCGCCTAGCATGTCTATAAGTTCTCGAGGGTTAACAAGAGGATCGGCGTCAACTAAGGTCTATGAGACCAAAAATAATTCTCTAATGAATAACGTCTCAACAATAAATAATAGAACATAAATAAAATAAAAAGTTTGAAATAGTTATGTAAGTTAAAGAGATAACAATTTCTATAAAAATTTAATAAACTTCATAATAAAATGACTCTATAAAATTTTAAATAAAATCTCAAATCATTGAACTATCATAGCAAATGATAATATTATTTGATTTAAAAAAAGCACATAATTGAAATAAATATTTTGTAATGACCTAAAATTTTAAAATTAAATAAATTTTCTCCTACTT